ATTAAAAAAGACTTTATGAGCACACGGGAATAAAATGCAGAGAGATGATAGATAAGAGAAAGATTAACTATTAGAAAGAAACGAAAATAAACACATATGAATAAATAAATGATCACTTCATACCTACAACAAAAACAACAATAACAGCATCATCAACATCATCAATCAACAAAAACAATAACAACACCGAACATCATCAACATCAAAACACAAAAACAAAACAAGAAGAACAGTGAGAATTGTTGATAAATTTTCCTTGTTTATATGTACGTGTAAATGCTATTATGAATTCTATATCCAATATTGTTCTGAATTTACCGTAACTTTATCATCTAAAAATAAAAATGAAAAACCACCATTTACCGCTTCTGAAATCATATAAAAAGGAACAGGATTTTTTCCTTTTTTGTTGAAAATAAAAAAATACTAATTTATTTACTTATCAGCTTTCAGAAACGTAGATTAATGGATTAAACAACAAACAAACAAAAAAACAACAAATAAGTAGATAATCAAACAAAAGATAGACACAAGTAAACAAACAAACGAACAAATACATATATATGTAAAAAAAACAAGCATACACATAAATAAACACAAAAACAAAAACAAACATGAACAAACAAACAAAGAAACGACCAAACTAGCAAACAAAGAAATGAATAAACAAACCAAATAGGTAACAACAAAAAAAATAAAGAAAAGAGGTGTCAACAAACAAACAAAAACAAACAAGAAAAGGTAAACAACAAAAAGAATAATAAACAACAAAAAAAAAAAAACAGAGACAAACAAACTAAAAAGAATAAACAAACAAACAAACAAAAAAAGAAAAAACCCAGAGACAAACAAAAACAAACCAAAAAAAGAGCATAACACCCAAACATCAAAACGAAAAAAGCGCCCCATGACAGCGCGCCCGTGCTCTGTGGCGGCTTCAGGAAATGCGTAATCATGAATGCAAATGCATGTTGCAGAGGCTGAATGAAAGCCATGTCTGACTGACAGTCTCTCTCTGCAACGAATATTGGGTGGATACAAGCCGAGGGGGATTTTCACCTGTCGCGCGTGTGGCAGGGCTGTGTGTGTGTGTGTGGTATGTATGTATAATACACACAGACACAGACAGACACCAGTAGTATGTATATAAATACAGACACACACACACACCACAAACGCAGACACCACAGACATAGACGCAGACACACACACACACAGAGACACACACAGACGCAGACACACACACACGCACACAGACACACGCGTACACACACACATATATATATATAACTAGCCTCAAGGTGTCCCCTTCCCTATTCTCCTCAAATCTCTTTCCTCCCCCACTTTCCTTAACCTCTCTCCAACACCCTTCTTTCAAACACCTCATGACACTCGGATTGTTAACACTCCTGACATTCTCGAAAGGCAGCCGTCGTGGTCTTAAAACTCCTTCCTTGGTGTGAGGTCAAAGACAAGGGTCTGGCTCGTGACGTTGTTGGCCAGCAAGGACAGGTAATCAGGAAGAAGCTGTAATAGTGTATATGGCAGCAAAGAGAGTCCAGAGTGATTCAGATGATCACCAGATCAACGAACCCATCAGACCTAGCCAAATTAAAGGAAAGGAGAAAAGCTGCCTTAAACTAAGGAAAAGAGCAGAAGGCAACTCGAGGGTGTGCATCTCTATTATATTTGATGCGTCACAAAAGTTGGATGCTTTGGCGAATGTGGTCGTATCATTTTGGTCCTTTCTTTTAAAAAGATGAAGATAATTATTTTAATGGTTATATTTTCATTGAACAATCATCAAAAATAGGCCCATGACACCTCCCTCGTTGCTACTGACCACCCCCCCCCCTGAGCCGACATGAGTTGCCAGACCGCCAATTAGGGTTGCAATGGCACCAATAACGATTAAAGCTAAAAGCCCTTTTTTACCCGGGCAGGCGCGGGCTAAAGTATGACTGCTCTGGACAATCAAAAGTGACAATATATCAAGTAGACGACACCAAAATATATATATATATTATTATATTTTTTTATGCGACTGCCAACGATGAGACAATGGAAAGGCTTAAGTCTACGGATTGCAAAGAAATTTTCCAAAAAATAAGAACCTCCAGAATGTAAAGCCAAGAAAACGGCAATTACCCGGAACAAAGACTATGAAGAAAGAGCACTAAAAGAAGAAGAAGAAGAAGAAGAAGAAGAAAGAAAGGAGAAGTAGAAAGTAGAAGTAGAAGATTAGAAGTAGAAGTAGAAGTAGAAGTAGAAGAAGAAGAAAGAAGAAAGAAGAAGAAGAAGAAGAAGAAGAAGAAGAAGAAGAAGAAGAGAACAAAAAGAAGAAGAAAAGAAGAAAGCGAAGGAAACGACTGGGCGAGGGTCGAACAGGCGATTAAGTCTCCATCACGCCAACAACCACCAAATTACGAAACAACTCAAGTGGCCAAGTCTGCCAGTTGGGAGCACAATCCTTTCCCTCACAGCCACAGCCAGATAGTCTTCCTCGGCCCCTGACATAGTATAAAAGGCACTTAAATAAAAGCATGTACTTAAATAGAGCGGACCGCCAGACCCAGACTATGTAGCAGTGCTGTAAATAGACACGAAACAGTCTTGCTTTGCTATTAACAGTAAACAACGCACAGAGATTGTATAATAGAGTATAAAGTATTCTTAAGACCTGCATCAGCTACATCTGTTACGATATAAAATAAAAGAAAGAAGCAAGTAGGTTTACCCTTTTCAATCTCCAAAGGATTCCTTTTCGTCCTGTCCTCCAGACTATCTACCTTGTTCTCTTTCTAGACCTCCAACCTCTCCTATCTCCCTCCTTCACCCCCTTCCATCCTCTCCCCACCTCCTTTCTCCCTTCCCCCACCCTCCTTCCTCCCCCTACCTCCCTTCCATCCCACCCTCCTTCCTCACCCCATCTCCCTCCCCTTCTTCCTCTCCCCACCTCCCTTCCCCTCACCCTCCTCTCCCCCCACCTCCCCCTCCAACACTCCCCCACCCTCCTTCCTCCCCCACCCACCTCCCTTCCCCTCCAACACCCCCTCCTTCTTCCTCCCACCCACCTCCCTTCCCCACCCCCTCCTTCCTTCCCCTCCAGACTTACCCCCACCTCCCCCCACCTCCCTTCCCTCCAACACCCCCTCCTTCCTCCCCACCCCCCCTCCTCCCCCTCCAGACTTACCTGAAGGCGTACCCGAAGGCCATAACGGCATCGGAGACAAACTGCAGTTGGCTCGAATTCGGTGTTCTTGCTCGTCAGCTTCTCCTTCCCCGTGCAGGTGGGTCGTGTACTCCTGGTTGTACGGCGTCTTGGAGCTGTTCGGGTACTTGCACTTGAAGTGGTTTTCCCAGTACTCTGTTGGGGGGAGGGGGAAATGGGGGAGGGGATTATTGTATTGTTACTATTGTTTTCTTTATTTTTTTATATATATATTTTTTGTATTCTGTCTGGGGAGTGGCAAATGGAGGGATTATTGTATTTTTATTATTATTTTTTCTTTTTCTTGTATTCTGTTTTGGGAGAGGAAAATGGAGTTTTTTTTGTATTATTACGATTATTTTCGTTATTATTATTTTGTGTTTTGTATTTTGTTTGGAGAGAGGAAAATGGAGGGATTATCGTGCTATTTTTTATTACTTTCATTATCATTGTTATCATTTTTATTTTGTTTTCCGTTTGGGGAAAGGGGAAAAGAGGATTTATTGTTATTATTGTTATCATTACCATTTTAATTATCGTTGTTATTATATTAATTTTGTTTTCTCTTAGAAGAGAAGGGGATTGTGGATTTAAAAAGAAAATCTGCAGTTGTAATTTTTTTTGTATTTGTATTGTTTGTGGTTTGGGATGAATAAAGGAAGGGTTTCATCGTGTTATTTTGTTATTATTTTTATTTGTATTTTGCGTGGGAAAAGGAGAAAGAAAAATACAAAAAAAGAAGAAAAAAATCTTTGAAGATTATCTTTGATATTTATAATGAGTGGATGTCTTTTATATCATAGTTATCCATTTACCTGTTTTGTGTTTTGGAGGAAGATAATTTTTATATTATTCATTTCACTTATTTACGTATTTCCTTTATATATTTCCTGGATTTGGGGAAGTAAAAAAATACTTTTTTTCATTTATATATCTTTGACTTATTTCCTCTGTCTATTTATTTCATTTATTTGATAATTTTTAGAATTAACTTCTGCTTATTCATCTATCTATTTACCTTGATTTACATATTTTTTAATTGATTTATCTATTCATTTCCTGTATTTGGGGAAAAGAAAAAGGTTTGTTTTATCCATTTGTTTTATCCGTATTTTTTTTTTTTTTTTTTTTTTTTTTTTTTTTTTTTTTTTTTAAATCGCGTCTTATCGGTCTGTTTTATTTTGCGGAATTACTCCCATTTCCCATTTTGTCTTTGATATTTGATATGAGAAAATGTATCGTAGAAAGACAGTAAAAGGAAAATAGATGAAGATGGTGAGAAAAAAATCTTTCGAAACCTAAGAACTATTAACTATTGTGGTACTTATAAAACTTTTATTACTTATATTACTTATGATACTTATAATACTTATATTACCTTATTCATTGCACTATCATCATCACTGAAATTGAATATCTTGCTTCACACTTTAGAGAAAGATCACTATAACACAGAACGAAAAAAATAAAATAAGAAAAAGATGATAATGATACAGTAAACAATATCAATTGCGATTAATGTAGAAAAGGATGAATGAGAATAAATATATTTACAATGCAAGAGAAGTTTTTGACCAAATTCGATAATATCTTCTTCAGAAATATTTCAGATGAAGATATAATAATACTAATAAAATATTCTACAATAATACATTAATACAAAACGAAAAATTGATAATAATAATAATGATAATGATAATGATGATGATAATGATAATGATAATGATAATGATAATGATTGAAATGATAATGATAATGATAATGATATGATAATGATAATGATAATGATAATAATGATAATGATAATGATAATGATAATGATTGATAATGATAATGATATAATGATGATGATGATGGATGTGATGATGATGATATGATGATATATGATAATGATAATGATAATGATAATGATGATATGATGACATAAATAATGATAATGATATATGATAATGATAATGATGATGATGATGATGATGATAATGATAATATGAATAATATAATGATAATGATAATGATAATGATAATGATAATGATAATGATAATGATAATGATAATGATAATGATAATGATGATGATGATGAATGAGATAATGATAATGATAATGGATAATGATAATGATAATGATAATGATAATGATAATGATAATGATAATGATAATGATAATGATAATGATAATGATAATGATAATGATAATGATAATGATATAATGATAGTGATAATGATGATGATATGATAATGATAATGATAATGATAATGATAATGATAATGATAATGATAATGATAATGGATAATGGCATGATAATGATTCTGAAAATGGATTACAAGCACGCACTCACCCACAAACCAAGGATTTCGCTTGTTCTTCTCGACCGTCAAGCTGAGGAAATACTCGTCAAAACCTCTCACGGGGTTGGCTTGGGGTTGGACCGACAGTGTTCCCTCCACCTCGGGTTCGTTACCTGTGTGGGGTAGGGGGTTGGGGGGTGGGGGAGTGGGGGATGGGGTAGGAGAGAGAGAAAAAGGGGGATGAGTGAGTGAGAGAGAATGAGTGTTGGGGTAGGTTGGTAGGTAGGTAGATAAATAGATAGGTATACAGGTAGATAAAAAAATAACACACAGACATATACATATAGAAAGAAAGGGAGGGAGAGAGGAGAGAGAGAGAGAGAGAGAGAGAGAGAGAGAGAGAGAGAGAGAGAGAGAGAGAGAGAGAGAGAGGAGAGAGAGAGAGAGAGAGAGAGAGAGAGAGAGAGAGAGAGAGAGAGAGAGAGAGAGAGAGAGAGAGAGAGAGAGAGAGAGAGAGAGAGAGAGAGAGAGAGAGAGAGAGAGGAGAGAGAGAGAGAGAGAGAGAGAGAGAGAGAGAGAGAGAAGAGAGAGAGAGAGAGAGAGAGAGAAGAAAAGGGAGAGAGAGAGAGAGAGAGAGAGGAGAGAGAGAGAGAGAGAGAGAGAGAGAGAGAGAGAGAGAGAGAGAGAGAGAGAGAGAGAGAGAGAGAGAGAAGAGAGAGAGAGAGAGAGAGAGAGAGAGATGAGTGAGAGAGAGAGAGAGAGAGAGAGAGAGAGAGAGAGAGAGAGAGAGAGAGAGAGGAGAGAGAGAGAAGAGAGAGAGAGAGAGAGAGAGAGAGAGAAATAGAAAAAAAGAAATAGAGAGAGAGAGAAAGAGAGAGAGAGAAAGAGTGAGAGATAAAGAGAGCCATACAAGAAGTAGGTGGGAAACGGAGGGATGCAGTAAGATCGATGATGAGAAATGAAGAATAGGAAAAAGTAGAGAAAAATAAAAGGAAAAGAAGGGGAGATGCGGCCTGAGTCTATGTTTTCATTTGTATCTGTGTTTATCTGTCAAGACAAAATGCCTTGGCCGAATCTGTTTACGGGGGAGTAGTGAAATGTGGGTTGTGGCTCCGTAGATTTATGGCCAATCCTCGCCAGAGCCTGGTACAGAAGTCACGTCTTGTTTTCATGTTTACCTGTGTGTGTGTGTCTATATATACATACATACATACGTATGTATGTATGTATGTATGTATGTATGTATGTATGTATGTAGTATGTATGTATTGCATGTAGTAATGATGCATGTATGTGCATGTATGTAATGCATGTATGTAGCATGTATCATGTATGTATGTATGTATGTAATGTATGCATGTATGTATGTATGTAGTATGTATGTATGTAGTATGTAGTATGTATGATAGCATGTTGTATGGTATGTATGCATGTATGTATGTATGTATGTATGTATGTATGTATGTAATGTATGTATGTATGTATGTATGTCATGTATGTAGTATGTATGTAATGTATGTAGTATGTATTATGTATTTGTATATATATGTACATATATATATATTTATATAATACAGATATATAAATTATATATATTAATATAATATATATATATACAATACATAATATATATAATATATATTATATATATATATAATATATAATATAATATATAGTATATATATATATATACTAATAATAATTATATACATACATTTAATATATATATATATATATATATATATATAATATATATATATAATCATTATATACTAAACGATATATACATAATGAATATACATATAGATACAATATATAATATATATATATCTATATAAACACACAAAACAATACAAATATTATAAAAAAATTACCAACACAAATAAACACAAAAATAATATATATATACAATATAAAAATATATATATATATTATATAAATATATATATAATAATATATATAATAATATATATATATAAATATATATATAGTAAATAGATAAATAAATAGATAAATAATTATATAATATAAAATATATATATAAATATATATAATATATTTACATACATATTATAAATACACCCCCCACCTTCCCCTTTCCCTTCTCTCCCCCTCGGCCTTCCCCTCTCACCTCACCCATCCTCACCCTCCCCCTTCCCTTTACCCCTCCCTCTTTCGCTCCCCCTTCCCCCTCGTTCCTCTCCGTCTCCCTGGAGACAACGAGGCGACCTCGCCGGACCACCGCCTTACCCCTTCTCCCTCCACCCTTCCCCTCCCTCCCCCCAACCCTGCCGCCGCCCCACCCGACTCCCACCTTTCCCCCTCCCTCCCCCTTTCCCCTTCCCCCTCCCTCACCCTTTCCGCCCTCCTCCCCTTCCCCTTCCCCTCCTTCCACCCACCCTCCACCTCTACCTTTCCCTCCACCCTCCACCCGTCCCCCACCCACCCTTCCCCCTTCCCCCTCCACCCACCCCCAACCCCCCCTTTTCCCCCAACCCCTCCTCCTCCCCCTTCCCCTCTTCCCTCCTCCCTCCCTCTTCCTTCCCTCTTCCCTTCCCTCTCACCTGAGGACACGAGCGACCCGCCGACCACCCCGTCCTTCCTTCCCCTTCCCTCCCCTTCCCGCCTCCACACCACGCCTCCCTACCCCCTCCACCTCCACCCTTCCCTCTTCCCCTCCCCTTCCCGGTCTCCCCCTCTCCCCCTCTCCCCTCACCTGAGGAACGAGCCCCTCCCTTCCACCCGTCCCCCCTTCCCCCCTTTCCTCCACCCCCGCTCCCCTCCTTCCCCCTCTTCCTCTCCCTCTCCACCTCCCCCTTCCCCCTCCCCCCCTCCAACCCTCTCCCCTTCCCTCTCACCTGAGGACACGAGCGACTCTCGCCGACCGACCCTCCTTCCCCTCCCCTCCACCCACTTCCCCCCTCCCGTCCCTTCCCCTTCCCCACCCTCCCCCCTCAACCCTCCCTTTTTCCACCCACCCTCCGCTTTGCCCCTCCCTCCCTCTTCCCCCTACCCCCCTCCCCCCCTCCCCCCTCCCTCTTCCTCCCTTTCCCCCTCCCCCTCCCCTCTTCACCCCCTCCACCCAGCCCACCACCCTCCCCCCCCTCCACCCACCCTCCACCCTTCCTCTCCCCTTCCCCTCTCCCTCTCACCTGAGGACACGAGCGACCTCGCCGACCACCCGTCCGAGCCGATCCAAGAGAAACTGCCCGTGGCGTTGTTCCTCCTGACCGCCCGCATCACGCCCGCGACTTCCTGGTCCGAGCCGAAGATGATCACGCCTGCAAGGGGGGGAGGGGGAGGGTGATGATGGTGGTGGTGATGATGGTGATGGTGTTGATAAGGTGATGGTGTTGATGGTGGATGGTGATGGTGTTTGATAAGGTGGTGATGATGATGGTGATGGTGATGGTAGGAATATTCACGATAGTAAATACTTGATGTGCTGCGTTCTAAACCATTTCTATTATTGATACTACTAATATTAATGTGCCACTTCTGCTACTACTATTAATACTACTACTAATAATTTGCTGCTTTTACTACTACTATTAATACTACTAATGCTATTACTAATATTGCTAATACTAATACTATCACTGTTACTAATAATAGAGGTACTGGGATTAATGATAATAATATCAATAACAACTATAATAATAACAATGATAATCATGATCATTAAGAATTGAATTAATAACAAATGATGATAGCAACAATAGACATCAACAATGATAACTATAACGATGAAAAGCGCGAAAATAAAGATGAAAAATGTTCGGCAACATATTCTCGCTGCTTCTGAAATAATTATAATAAGACAACCCATAAAAAAAAGAAAGAAAGAAAGAAAGAAAGAAAGAAGAAGAGAAAGAAAGAAAGAAAATACATATCCCGGCCGCCTCCTTAACTCTGGCTCGCAATAACGATAATGATAATGACAAAGAAAAAATATAATTCAACAATAATGATAATAGTTAAGAAAAAAGTGATAATAACAATTAGGAAAGACAAAAAGAAAGGAAAAAAAGAAGAATGCTTCTGCAACATCATAAACAATAACAATAATGACAATAGTAGAGAAAAAATATCATAATAACAATTAGAAATGACAAAAAAAGAAAAGAAAAGAAAGAAAGAAAAGAAGAGAAGAAAAGAATAAAGAAAAGAGGAAAGAAGAAGAGAAAGAAAAGAACAGAAGAGGAAGAAAAAGAAGAAGAAAAAGAAAAAGAAAAGAAAAAGAAAAAGAAAAGAGGAAAAAAAGAAAAAGAAGAAAGAAAAAGAAAAAGAAAAAGAAAAGAAAAAGAAAGAAAAAGAAAAAAAGAAAAAGAAAAAGAAAGAGATTAAAAAAAAAAAAAAAAAAAAAAAAAAAAAAAAAAATATTATAATATAATATATATATATATATATATATATATATAATATATATATATATATATATATATATATATATATATATATATATATATATCCCTCACCTCTGGCCCGCTGCTTCTGCAACAG